GGATACTTTAATTAATAATTGGTGATATTTCCACAAGGATCCTTCAAGAAATTAATTTTATAGCGAATTTTACAAGTTATCGAAAAAAATTGCAACATCGAAAATTTTATCAAAACTTCAAATATTGTTTTCTCAAAAACTAAAAGCTATTTTTTAAAACGGGTTGGTTCATTGGAAAGAAGACACTTTTATTAACACTTTGGGATATTTTCATACTTATATTCCAAGAACTGGATTTTATACGAATTTTTAAAACTTAATCGGCGAAAATTGCATTATTCGAAAAAATTGTTGATTATTTCAAAAATTTATTTCTCAAGAACTGAAAGTGATTTTTCAAAACGGCTTTTTGCATTAAGAAGAGGATACTTTAATTAATAAGAAACTGGTAACAGCGACAGTTCTGTTAGTAATGAATGTGATGATGGTTTACAAGCGAAGAGAAGGAATCTAGACGAAACTGCAACAAGAGATTTTATATATCGTATTAGGATTGTTACCTGATATAAATAAAGTTGTATTCAATGAAAAAAGTCCTATTGGGGTTGAACTTGATTATTATCTGCAGTGTTCAACAACTAAAAGAGTACTAAGTAATAGGTTTTTAATATCCGGCTTTGGTAACTATCCGATATCCGGTCGAATTTTAAAAAATGCCCTTATACCGGATAGTTGCCGGATATCCATTCCACCACTAATCTAAACAATTTAGATTTCAGAAAGACGGCATATAAACTTTAAATAGCGTCAATTTGAATAAATTTTAATACACCCAAACAATCTTTATCTTAAAAACTAAGCGTTCACCTGGAGATATAAAAGGTGGTATGGTTTAATTAAATAAAATCAGAGCAACTTGTTCAGTTGATAACCTATCAAAATAAATGAATGCGTTTATAATTTCTACAAATATTTTATTAATGTCATTGTCATATAATCAGAAAAAATAAAGTGGAATCTGTGTCGCTAAAAATACCGTAGAAATTAGTGAAAATACAGAACATTTTTTGGGGAAATTTGGAGGTAACGGCACAGATCAAAATGTTGAAACGGAACTACAATGCAGTATTTGTACAGAGTTATTTGTAAAAGCCCAAACGTTAAATTGTTCACATTCTTTTTGTAAAACTTGTATAAAATTATGGGAAAGAAAGAATAAGAAATGTCCGATTTGTAGGGCTAAAATAAATACTGTAACTCCAACTATTGTACTGGATAATTTAGTGAATGCGGTAGGTTATGATATAAAATAAATCTTTTTTTTCTTATCTAATTTATTTGTTTGTTTAGGTTGTCAAATCGTCATCTGAAGAAATTAAAAAACATCGCAAAACTCTTCTTGAAGAGCGCCAAAAACATTCCGCCAAATCTTTAAAGAAAGTTATCAAATTCAAACGGAATAAAGTGCTAATTCGTAGAATGATAACTGGTGGATGTGGTACCTCGGAAAGCAGTAGCGGTTGTTCACACTATCAAGGATCATCAAGACCTACACCACCAGATTCAATTTCGAGTAGTACTTCCTACGAAGAATTCGACGGTTGTAGCTCCATTGATATTGATTCTGATAGCGATCTTACCGATTTTACTGAATTTTAATACTTTTTACAACTTATTTATATTAAATTTTGCTTTTTAACACTACTTTTTACTCATTTAAATTATTTTAAAACAAAAATAAGAATAAATTCAAACCGACGTTGTTATTTGTTCAATCACCTGTACATTTCTTACCAGTGGCCTTTGATGCCGAAACGATCCATAAAAGTACTCGTTTCGCCCGAGCCCTTCCGGAAAACTTTTACTAGGCCTCAAATTATTCCTATTCACCACGTTGTACTTTAAAAACCCTCCTATATTCGGATCATGTGGTCCAAATCTTTCCATATTAGCAGCGTAACTTCTACTTTTCTTCAAAAATTCTTTATTTTTATGCGAAAGTTTACGTTTTAAACTACTTCTATGTAATTTTTCATCAAAAATTTGCTCGTAATGGTTATTATAACTTAAATTGTAAGGGTTAATATGATTGAAATGATTAAAATTAGCCAATGAACATATACATTCGTTCAAGTTTAAAGTATTCAAATTATTCAAGTTATTGAAATGATCTAAATGATTAAAATTAACGTTTTTAGGTGTTAAATTTACATCTTTTTTATTGCCGACTAGAAACATTAAAAATGCGGCCGCTAAAGTAGAAAAGAATGAAAAATAATAACCGTACTTGGGATAATTTTGGTTGATAAAACCCGTTAATGGTATACCGATTAAAATCGGTACGGATTTGGAACTTTCAATAAAGCTCCAAGCTTTGGTAAAGTGACGCGTTTTGACGCGCTCCAACGTAAACATCTTCAGGGAGTACGTGTAGCCGCCTAAACAGATGCCGTAAAGCCAGGTAAAAAGGCAATATCCATGATAACCTTGGACGGCAGTTAAGGCGAGAAGAGAAATTCCTATTTAAAAAAAGTTTGTAAATATTAAAATAAATAAAAGATAAGGTAAGCTGGGGCAACTGGGCCCAGGGGGTAAGTGGGCCATGAGTCTGTCAATGTCTAACCTGCTGCTACGGAATATTCAAACAGTTGGCAACGTTGTGTCAACCTGTCGACTTGCCGGTACAACGAATATAACCTCGTTTTTCTATGCGGCATGCACGTGAGTGCGTTCTGAATTTAATGCATATATTTTGGTCTGACAACGTGCTGCAGTAGTGCATTTGTGTGGTCCTGATTTGAACAGTGTAAGTATTGATAAATTAACTTTTATAGATGTAATAATGAAATACGTTTAAAACGAGTGATTCAGACAATTATTTTTCCGTATTGTAATTCAAGCATGAGTGGCCCAGTAACCCCATATGTTTTGTGGAAATGGGGTAACTGGATCATTCCTCGGGGGTAACTGGATCCTTGGGTTCCAGTTACCCCGAATATTGGAAGTAATTACTTACACTTTTAGAAATAAATTTCGACATGTTTCTTCTTTCTTTTACAGACATTAACGTTTCAACATGGTGAGAACGTACGTTCGAAAAACTGAGAAAGGTGCAGGGTCCGCTTACACGGTAGAAGATTTCCAGCGTGCGATTGATGATGTAAGAAATGGCAACAAAACAACCAGAGGTGCAGCACTGTTCTACAACATACCAAGGAGCACACTGAAACATCATGTGTTAGGAACGAGGGGAAAGGGTTCCACATCAAAGGAAGGCAGAGGAGGCGGAGGTGTAACTTCGTACCTGTCAACTGCCGAAGAAGAAGAAATTGCCAATTGCATCAAGGTAATGGAAAAGCATGGATTTGGTCTGTCGCGAGAAGATGTACTGGATTTAGTACAAATGTACATTAGACAGAATAATTTGCCAACAAGATTCAAAGACCAACAACCTGGAACCGACTGATTCATCTCTTTCAAGAAAAGGCAACATTTGTCTATCAAAAAACCCCAAAGTATCGAATACGTTCGGTGTGACCAAGTTAACCCTTGGGTCATCTACGACTTTTTTGACAAGTTGGAACACCTCATGAAAGACTTAAAACTTGAAGGAAAGCCAGGACAGATATTCAATTGTGATGAAACGTCATTTTGCCATGACCCTTCTAAAACCAAAATTGTTGGGGCCATTTGGTGCGCGATGTCAGCGCAAAACTAGTTCTTCTGGGCGCAAAAATACTTCTGTGTTGCTTTGTTGTTCCGCTGATGGAAGAACTCTTCCATTGCTTTGCGCTTTTAAGGGAAAGTTTGTCATGGAAAATTGGATAAACGAAGAATTGGCCACACAAACTGCTGTTTCAGTAACTGAGCGTGGGTGGATGGAGACAACCTTATTCTACAACTGGTTTAGAGATGTTTTCCTTAGAAATATTGGTAGAGAAAGACCTGTAATTTTAATTTATGATGGGCACGTGACCCACATTTCCGTAAAGTTGATCCAACTAGCACGGGCAAATGACATCATTATCATGAAGCTGCCACCACACACAACACATGTTCTACAACCCCTCGATGTTGCCATTTTTAAAGGCTTGAAAACGGCATGGGACAAGGCATTGTGCAAATGGCAACGGCAGAATCCGCGGAAAAAAATTCCCAAAGCTGAATTCACAACCATCCTAACAAAGCTTAGCGGCGAAATTCCTGAAGAAAGCATAAAAACGGATTCAAAGCAACAGGAATATACGATCCATGCAAAGATGGTCCAAATCGGGAAGCTATTCCGGTTTCAGTTTTTAAACCTGAAGATTTAAAAAAATACAGGAAGAAATCACCTGCGCCGTCAGATACACAAGTTGAAGCCACTTTGTCCACATCTTCCGCACAAGACAGTGAGGTACCAGTGACGTCAACTGAGCAACAAACTAACATAGCTTCTACCTCACATCCACAAGTTCTATTAAATGAACAGCCGAGTACATCCAAGGCTTTTTTTAATGTACCAGCAGAAACACAAAACCATGAAGATGAACAACCGAACACGTACACAAATGAACCAACAAATCTCAGGAATGATGAAAACTCAAAAGAGTTGGAAACACCGATACGAAAAAGTTTTGAAGACGTTCTTCTAGATTTGTTCAAGAAAGACACAAAAGCAAACCCGGAACGAAAACGCAAGAGGCTGGTGACTAATTGTGAGATAATAACAACAGCGGGATATTTGCAGAAGAAGGAACAAGACGAACTTGAGAAACAAGAAAATTTGAGGAAGAAGAAACAGAAACAGGTCGAAAGAGGAACTAGAAAAAAACAGAAGAATCTTAAGAAAAGGAAAAGAAATTCTGAGAAGAAGAATGAAGAACATTCAAGTAATGAGGAAAGTAATTATTCTCTACATGAAAGTGTTGATAGCTTGGAGTTGTCCGACTCCGAGAAAGAAACCAACGCGGACAATTTGAGTCCTGATGATTTTGCTGTATTTAAAGTTTTTGGAAAAGATAAGGTTTCTTTCCGATTGTATGTTGGAAGAATTCAAGAAGCTGATGACAATGGTTATCAAGTAAAATTTTTCAAAAGACGTGGCCACAATATGCAATTTACTGAAACAGAAGAAGAGTCGTATGTTCAACAAAGTGAACTTTGTAGAAAATTATCAGAGCCTCTAAAACACATCTCATCGCGCTACAATAATATGTTGCATTTTAGTACCTATTTGGAAGATTTAACGAATCTGTTAAATTAATATGTTAGCACTTACTGATTTGTTTTAAGGGGAAGCCAATCGTTCTGTTAAAAACTCAGAAAAAGCAATACTTATGTTTAGTTTCAAAGTAATTTATGTAAGTTTACATAAACAAATTAAGTAAGTTTTTGTTGAAGTTGTGTTGAAGTTTATGACTTAATAAAGCATTATTATGACACTTTTTGTTACATTTCTTAGTTAACAAATGATGTTTATCTATTTGCAACACCCCTAAAAAGCCTACCATGAAACAAAATCTGAAATTTTTGATATGGTACCGAAAATAGACACGTCCTAAAACAGGCCCAGCTACCTCAGATTGAATTGTATTATCTTGCTTATGGAATAGACAGGTGGGGTCCAGTCGCCCCACTCTACGGGGGTAACTGGGCCCAGGAGCGCCAAAAACATAAAATAATTATTTTTCTCGTTGGCATCTTGAATTATCAATGTTAAACATGCGGATATCTTAAAGAAATACTTCTTTAAGATCCGTACGTATTCAGAAGTTCATTTTAACAATTCTTCTTCGAATCAAACGAGTGCAAATTTATGAACGACATTGGCATGTTGTAAAATCATGACCCAGTTGCCCCAGCTTACCTTAATTATTACGTACCAATTCCAATTAAAGAAGCTTGACAAAGATATTGTCTTGAGATCAAACATTGCGTACTTGGTTTTATTGTAACCAAACCAAATCCAAAGCATCCTAAAGCTGATGAAAATCCTAAGAACGTTTGAAGAAGCACCAAAGAAGGTTCTTCTAGACCTTCTTTATAACCTTGATAAACCTTCAAAATACATTGTTAATAATAATAACACAAATTAAGGTTGTTACTATACATAGTAGGTACTTACCAAAAAAATTATTGGTGCATACATCCCTAACCCAGCTGACGAACTCGAAACCAACAATATCCTTAATCCTCGACTTTTCAATGGTGAAAAATCAAACATTTTTGGCTTCCTCACTCCACTTCCACTTTGTCCACAACCTTTTTTCTCCTTCACCTTTTTTCTTTGATTTTTTAAATGCATTATGGCACGCCGTTGGGGATGATAAAGATTCGCAGAACGATAAACGATAGGTAAAAGTATACTCAAAGCCAACAAACCAGTTAAAGATTGAAGACCAAGTCTCCATCCCAATTTCCTAATCAATTATCAAATCATCATAAAAAGTTTCGTTAAATAAAAAGGTTAATTTTTCTTACCCAACTCCTTCTTTGTACAAAACCGAAACCAAAGCGATACCTATTCCGCTTCCCGTTTGGGAAATCATCTCAACAAATTCTCGTCTTCTTTTGAAGTAATGTCCTAGCGTTAAACAAGAAGTTTCTCGCACCAAACCCGATCCCAAACCCAACATTAAACCGTAACTAAGTAAGGTTTGGTGGAATTGAGTTGCAAAAGATGTGAATAAACAGGATAAAGTAAGAATTAATCCACCAAAGAGAGCTGCCAAACGAGTTGATTTACGTCGAGAAATTGCTAAGATTATTGGAGAAGAGATAAGGGATATTGAGATGGATAATGCGCCCATCCAAGCTGAAATAAAAAAATAAAGAAAAACATTTCAAATTAAATTTTAATTAAGCATCAGTTAATATTTGTTATTCTCGTTTAATTTAATGAAGACAAATTAAGCGGATAAATAAATACCAATTTAAATGCAATAATAAAAAATTAGTCAAAACTCGTATTTAAGTTATTTCCATGGTTATTGAAATTTTTATTGTTGTCTTTTTCGCCATCAAACTCCTCGTTTTCCAATTCACCATCTAAAAATCTCTGAGGTTGTGATATATTTTTATTGAACGAAAAGTAGAACTAACACTAGACCTAGAACCAGAACCATTCGGGTTCAGCTATGCGTCTTTTAAGACGGCTAAACCTGAATGTTTCTAGTTCTAGTGACAATGCTAGGTCGTGCTAGTTAGCATTAGATATCACTGTGTTGTATATTTTTATTGAATTAAAACTAGAACTATCACTAGAACTAACACAAGACCTATAACTAGAATCATTCGGGTTTAGCCGTCTTTAGAGACGTGCGGTTAAATCCGAATGTTTCTAGTTCTAGATCCAATGTTAGTTCTAGTGACAGTTGTAGGTAGCGCTAGTTAGCATTAGATATCACTGTGTTGTATATTTTTATTGAATTAACACGAGAACTAACACTAGACCTAGAACTAGAAAGTGTCGGACGCACGGCTAAACCCGAATGTTTCTAGTTCTAAGTCTAGTGTTAGTTCTAGTTTTACACTAGCACTATCACTAGAACTAACATTAGATCTAGAACTAGAATCATTCGGGTTTAGCCGTCTTGAGAGACGTGCGGCTAAATCCGAATTTTTCTAGTTCTATGTCTAGTGTTATTTCTAGTTTTACACTAGAACTATTACTAGAACTAACAGATCTAGAACTAGAATTATTCGGGTTTAGCCGTCTTGAGAGACGTGCGACTAAATCCGAATGTTTCTAGTTCTAGGTCTAGTGTTAGTTTTAGTGACAGTTGTAGGTAGCGCTAGTTAGCATTAGATATCACTGTGTAGTATATTTTTATTGAATTAAAACTAGAATTATCACTTGAACTAACACAAGACCTAGAACTAGAATCATTCGGGTTTAGCCGTCTTGAGAGACGTGCGGCTAAATCCGAATGTTTCTAGTTCTAAGTCTAGTGTTAGTTCTAGTTTTACACTAGCACTATCACTAGAACTAACACAAGACCTAGAACTAGAATCATTCGGGTTTAGCCGTCTTGAGAGACGTGCGGCTAAATCCGAATGTTTCTAGTTCTAGGTCTAGTGTTAGTTCTAGTTTTACACTAGCACTATCACTAGAACTAACACAAGACCTAGAACTAGAATCATTCGGGTTTAGCCGTCTTGAGAGACGTGCGGCTAAATCCGAATGTTTCTAGTTCTAGGTCTAGTGTTAGTTCTAGTTTTACACTAGCACTATCACTAGAACTAACACAAGACCTAGAACTAGAATCATTCGGGTTTAGCCGTCTTGAGAGACGTGCGGCTAAATCCGAATGTTTCTAGTTCTAGGTCTAGTGTTAGTTCTAGTTTTACACTAGCACTATCACTAGAACTAACACAAGACCTAGAACTAGAATCATTCGGGTTTAGCCGTCTTGAGAGACGTGCGGCTAAATCCGAATGTTTCTAGTTCTAGGTCTAGTGTTAGTTCTAGTTTTACACTAGCACTATCACTAGAACTAACACAAGACCTAGAACTAGAATCATTCGGGTTTAGCCGTCTTGAGAGACGTGCGGCTAAATCCGAATGTTTCTAGTTCTAGTGTTAGTTCTAGTTTTACACTAGCACTATCACTAGAACTAACACAAGACCTAGAACTAGAATCATTCGGGTTTAGCCGTCTTGAGAGACGTGCGGCTAAATCTAGATGTTTCTAGTTCTAGGTCTAATGTCAGTTCTAGTGACAGTGGTAGGTAGTGCTAGTTAGCATAAGACATCACTATGTTGTATATTTTTATTGAATTAAAACTAGAACTAACACTAGACTCAGAACTAGAAAGTTTCGGGTTTAGCCGTGCGTCTGAAAATATTTCAAATATAAATATTTAAATCTAAATATTTCAAATTAAATTATAATTAAGCAGCAATTAATAATTGTTATTCCCGTTTTATTTAATGAATACAAATTGAGCGGATAAATAAATACCAATTTAAATGCAATAATAAAAAATTAGTCAAAACTCGTATTTAAGGTATTTCCATCGTTATTGAAATTTTTATCGTTGTCTTTTTCGCCATCAAACGCCTCGTTTTCCAATTCACCATCTAAAAATCTCTCTGAAAACTCGACTATATCGACACTTTTCATATCGAAAAACTTATCTAAACTTAATTGACTCAATTCCTCCTTCTTTACCATCAACTGGCTGGTGATATTTCTTCTTCCTTCTTCTTTTAATTCGTGGATTTCTTTGGCGGATTTAGCGTATTGTTCTTTAAAATAATTTTTCACTTTTAAAACTTCCATGTATTTCTCCTCAAGATTTCTTACGTCTTGTAATAAATTAGCTGTTTGTTCATTAGATAAAGAAAACTTTTTTATTTCGTCGATTTCACAAATTCTTTCAGCTAAAATATTTTTTAAGTGCTCGTTATCGAGTTCTAAGTTACTAATTTTTTCGATTAATTCATAATTATCGGTTAAAGAATATTTCACGGCGTTTTTTCGAATTTCCTCGTGGATGTTTTCCAAGGAAGTCGATTTTTGTTTTAGTTTTAAAAGATTTTCGATTTTATTTTTATTCGAAGATTTTTTTAATTCCTTTGCAAGTTTTTTGCAACGATTTACGTTAAAAATGAGTTTATTTTCTAATTCGTTTTTCTTTTCGATCCAATTCTTGATTAAAACGCCGATTTCTTGTTTTTGTTTAACTTTTAATTCTTTAACAAATTCCGCCTTAATTTGATCTTTCCAATTCATTAACTCGTTTAATTCCTTTATGACTAAAATCTCATCTAAAATCCTCGGTCTTAACTCGAAATCAACAATTCCGAAGTTAAATCCACATTCTTGGAGGTAAATTAATATTTTTAATTCGCCTATAGGTGATAAGTCCCCGGTTCTTATTAACTCGACGACTTTTAGATCGTCAAAAACTATTTTTTCGGTGTTTTCGAAGTTTGCAATGCGATCAAATTTGATTTCAACTAAAACTTCTTCGCAGAAACCTTTACCGAAGTCGTCTTCAATCAGTATTCTCGGTTTCCATGATTTTAGTAATTCTGCGATGTCTGTTTTGGTTGACACATAAACCAATTTACAATTTATGTTATCCAAAATTGTTAAATTTGGACTTATTTGTGATTTATACGAGACATAAGTCGAAGCTTTTGGGTGCTTAAATTTAAAATTTAACGTCGGTGAAATCTCTGGATGCTTTAATGTTAATGTTTGGAGGATTATGTCTAAAGAAAATTGTTTAAAATCGTCTAAAATAAGATTATCCGGTGCTTCTATACTGATTTGAAATGATTTTGAGACTTTTTGGCGTAATTCGATTGTACTTTGAGGATATTCTGCACTCTCAGATGATTCCTCCATTTTATTTAAAGATTTTAAATCTTGAGAGGTTTGTGGAATAAGATTAATTTCCGATTTTAAAGAGCTTTGAAGCGATTTTAACGAATTTTGCTCTCTCAAACTTTCCGTTTTAATAGAGAAAGAAGATTTTAAAGAAGTTTGAGAAGCTTTAACACTTTTTGGGTTAATAAAATCTCCGGAACCGATTAAATCCATTTTTTGATTATTTTTATCATCATCTTTTTCGGGATCATCTTTTAAAATTATTTCTATTAACACTTTAGGTTGCCTCTCTTCAGCGCCTTTTTTATTTTTTAATTTAGTTGGGTTAAACACGCAAGTCAAATCTTTTTTTAAAACCCCATTAATATCATTTAAAAAAGTATCAATTTGAAGTGAATTTGGTATAAAATCGTTTAAATCGATTTGTGAAGCTCCCAAAATATTTGAACCAAGGCAAAAATCGATTGTAACCACGTTGAATTGTTTAAAAAATCTTTTTAAATCGTCCATGTTGGCGTGGAATTTCACGACGACATTTTCGTTTAAAAATATTTCTTTATGGATGGTTTTTTCGAACGATTTCGTTTTTACCTCAATATTGAAAAGTTTTAATGATAAAAAGAAATCTTCTTTGGTCGGTTTAAAGACTTCATTCGGAGTTAAAAGAAGATCTAAATTGATTATCGTTTTAATTAAAAGATTTAGTTCGAAAAAGATGCAATTCTCCTCTTCTGTTCCTAATTTAATGTAGCCGTCCCTTTCTAGGCACACAATTTCTTTATCCGATAAATTAAAATCGGTGTTGGCGTGAAGATGAACTTTGTTTCTATCTGTTTTTAAACCAGTTCCAAAAACTTTAAAAGCCGGTGGAACCAAATTATTCAAAACCACGTCTCTTAAACTCAACGATAATCTCAGTTCGGGATTAAATTTTTTAAACATCGATTTCACCCCAATCAATTTAAACCATTTCAACGAGATTTCGGGAGATTTCGATGAAGATGAAATAATTTGAGCTGTTCTTAAGCTTAATAAAACGAATCCAAAGCATTCCTTTTCGAGGGTTTTCTCGTTGTAAGTGTGACATTCGACGCGAAGGGGGACGTTTTCGCAACGAAAGTTGCGAATAATTTTCTTCTCGGTTTCCCAAACCAGTTCAGTATTAAAATCGGGATAAGAGCATGGGTTAACAAGGTCACTTTCCATTGTACGACCATTGAAATTAGCTAAAATATACAGAGGGTGTTGAAGAAAGTCCATATTTCGAGCTTCTTCAATACCCAAAACAAGATTTACATATTTTCCACGTAGTTCATTCATTACTTCGCAATATTTGGAAATATTTTTTTAAGTGCAAAAGCTTTGGGATTGGTATAAATTAGATAAAGAAAAATTGTATAAGTTTCGTGACGTAAAAGTTAACTCAAAAGTGTCAAAAATGTTGACGTTCTATTTCATTTTTGAATTGCAGAGACTTACCCGTTGCCATTGCATAAAACTCTCGATCTGGATCATTTTTCTTCACCATATACTTCATCGTGTATAAATACAAAAGCCCAAAAGCTAATTGTATCCCGGATGTTAAAAGGTGTGCCAAAAATGCTGCTCCACATACTAACCAACCCCAACCACCTAAAATTATAATCAATATCAATTGAAATAAATAATTATTATTCTTTTCCTTAAATAATAAATTCTTATGTATAATACGTGAAAAGATATCGAAAATCCGATATCGAAACGGCTAAAGCAGGTCGGGTGTATTTTTGGAGAGATTTTCACATCAATACACAACTCTGATATATTATAATTGGATCTCCAGGTGCAGAGTAATAGAAATTGTTTTTATCATGGATTTCGAAAGTTCCAAGTTCCCACTAATATTTATAACTTTTCCATGTAAAAGTGCCACACTGGTGTCTTTTCACCGTAAAGTTGCGATACTACTTACATTTAGTTCAGAAACACTTAAAAGGATGTTAATAAAAATATCCAAAAACTTTCGCGTAGAGGATATTACATTCACATAAAATCTACATTGAGAAACAAGAACAATTCAATTTTTATTGGAAATAGAGTTTTCTCCAAAACGGATCGAATTTAAGTAACGAAACTCAGTAAAGACTAAGTAAAGACTCCAAAGTCAACAATTCATTTTATATAGAATTTTGAAATCCCCCTTTTTATTTGACGTTTATCGAAAGTGAATCTATAGAAAAAATTGATTTCTCCAAAACGTGTTGGAATTAAGGAACGAAACTTTTCGAGGTTATAAAGGGACGTTTGAGGTTGGGTTATACCAAATTTAAAGACTCCAAAGTCAACAATTCATTTTATATAGAATTTTAAAATCCCCCTTTTTATTTGACGTTTATCGAAAGTGAATCTATAGAAAAAATTGATTTCTCCAAAACGTGTTGAAATTAAGGAACGAAACTTTTCTAGGTTATAAAGGGATGCTTGAGGTTGGTTTATACCAAATTTAAAGATTCCAAAGTTAACAATTCATTTGATATAGAATTTAAAAATCCCCATTTTTAATTTGACGTTTATTGAAAATGAATCCTAGAAAAAAATTTATTTCTCCAAAACGTGTTGGAATTAAGAAACGAAACTTTTCGAGGTTATAAAGGGATGCTTGAGGTTGGGTTATACCAAATTTAAAGATTCCAAAGTTAACAATTCATTTTATATAGAATTTTAAAATCCCCCATTGTTAATTTGACGTTTATTGAAAGTGAATCCTAGAAAAAAATTGATTTCTCCAAAACGTATTGAAATTAAGAAACGAAACTTTTCGAGGTTATAAAGGGATGCTTCAGGTTGGTTTATACCAAATTTAAAGATTCCAAAGTTAACAATTCATTTCATATAAAATTTTAAAATCCCCCCTTTTTAATTTGACGTTTATTGAAAGTGAATCCTAGAAAAAATTAATTTCTCCAAAACGTGTTGGAATTAAGGAACGAAACTTTCCGAGGTTATAAAGGGATGCTTGAGGTTGGGTTATACCAAATTTAAAGATTCCAAAGTTAACAATTCATTTTATATAGAATTTTAAAATCCCCCCTATTTAATTTGACGTTTATTGAAAGTGAATCCTAGAAAAAAATTGATTTCTCCAAAACGTGTTGGAATTAAGAAACGAAACTTTTTGAGATTATAAAGGGACGTTTGAGGTTGGGTTTTACCAAATTTAAAGACTCCAAAGTCAACAATTCATTTTATATAGAATTTTAAAATCCCCCTTTTTATTTGATGTTTATCGAAAGTGAATCTATAGAAAAAATTGATTTCTCCAAAACGTGTTGGAATTAAGAAACGAAACTTTTCGAGGTTATAAAGGGATGCTTGAGATTAGGTTATACCAAATTTAAAGATTCCAAAGTTATCAATTTATTTTATATAGAATTTTAAAATCCCCCATTTTTAATTTGACGTTTATTGAAAGTGAGTCCATAGAAAAAAATTAATTTCTCCAAAACGTGTTGGAATTAAGAAACGAATCTTTTCGAGGTTATAAAGGGATGCTTGAGGTTGGGTTATACCAAATTTAAAGATTCCAAAGTTATCAATTCATTTTATATAGAATTTTAAATTCCCCCTTCTTAATTTGACGTTTATCGAAAGTGAATCCTAGAAAAAAATTGATTTCTCCAAAACGTGTTGGAATTAAGAAAAGAATCTTTTCGAGGTTATAAAGGGATACTTGAGGGTCAGATTCCAAAGTTAACAATTCATTTTATATAGAATTTTAAAATCACCCTATTTCATTTGACGATTATTGAAAGTGAATCCATAGAAAAAAATTAATTTCTCCAAAACGTAATGGAATTAAGGAACGAAACTTTTCGAGGTTATAAAGAGACGTTTGAGGTTGGGTTATACCAAATTTAAAGATTCCAAAGTTAACAATTCATTTTATATAGAATTTTAAAATCCCCCATTTTTAATTTGACGTTTATCGAAAGTGAGTCCATAGAAAAAAATTGATTTCTCCAAAACGCGTTGGGATTAAGAAATGAAAGTTTTCGAGGTTATAAAGGGACGTTTGAGGTTGGGTTATACCAAATTTTAAGTTGTTAGTATCAAAAATTCTTTTTATATAATATTTCAAAATACTTCATTTGACTTTCATTCAAAGCGAGTTCAATGAAAACTTCTTGAGCTTATACAGGATGGCTTGAGGCTTCATTCATTATATCTTGCACATTACATATTTCCTCAATGCGCAGTTTCATTAGTTGAGGAACTCTTCGTAAACTTCTACGTTAAAGTAAGGATGCAACACTTCCATTAAGAGTTGTTTCAAAAACACTTTGTTATTGAACTACTTGAATTATTAAATGCATATACAACGTTTAAGTTTAAGTAGATAGATAATTTGCCAATTTAGAGTACTTCTAGAGTATTATCGTTACCTTCTGGATAATAATGCTGTTTAATTGTAGCTGTGTCCATATCTCTTCTTCGTAATGCGGGAATGTTTCGGTGTAAAGAATGAAGTTCTCGGTCGCATATGACTGGAAAGGAATCTTCATCATCATGTGGACGAGAAATTGGAGTCGTCCGATCTGAAAATAAAAAATAAAAGCTAATGTTAAAATGTATACAACAGTTTTTCTGCATTTTCCGTCTGTTAAAGTTTGTTTTTTGAATAAAGTGTCTTTTAAAGAGGATAATTTGAGGGAACTGAAGGAGGAATTCCACAGTTTGATAAACGACCTCCTCAAGAATGGATCCTTTATAGCTCAATTACTGAACACTGTAAAAAACCACTTTATCTCGGAAATGAAAACGCTTAAATCGGAGAACGATTAATTAAAAAGAGACAACGTGTTGCTTGGAGGAAAAACTAGATTATATAAAACAAATACGAAGATATATTTATGATTTTGTTTGAAAATGATAAGAGCTTTTAGGAAAATGTTATTATCGGGAAGTATTTGATTAAAATGGACAGTCTTGAAATGATAATAATTTATTCGTTAAGGATTATAGAGATTTATTAAAACGTTTTCCTTGAATTACGGTTTCAATTTCCAAGAGATTTACTTTCCTTCTTCCAATAACTTTTGAACTTTACGTAATTAATGAAGTTTAACAACTTATTTCATCGCGAGCCAAAAGAAATCTTTTATCAATTTTAAATTACTTTTTCGCCGTCATTATCACAACAATGTTACTCATACTTTAAACTTAAATTTTCATTAACTTACTGTATAATGTTATCAAGGAAGTAACATATTGTAATTTAACGTTGCTCCAAAATATGTTGGAATTAAGAAACGAAACTTTTCGAGGTTATAAAGGGACGTTTAAGGTTGGATTATACCAAATTTAAAGATTCCAAAGTTAATAATTCATTTTATACAGAATTTTAAAATCACCCTATTTCATTTGACGTTTATTGAAAGTGAGTTAATAGAAAAAAATTAATTTCTCCAAAACGTGTTGGAATTAAGAAACGAAACTTTTCGAGGTTATAAAGGGACGTTTGAGGTTGGGTTATACCAAATTTAAAGATTCCAAAGTTAACAATTCATTTTATACAGAATTTTAAAATCACCCTATTTCATTTGACGTTTATTGAAAGTGAGTCCATAGAAAAAAATTAATTTCTCCAAAACGTGTTGGAATTAAGAAACGAAACTTTTCGAGGTTATAAAGGGACGTTTGAGGTTGGGTTATACCAAATTTAAAGATTCCAAAGTTAACAATTCATTTTATATAGAATTTTAAAATCACCCTATTTCATTTGACGTTTATTGAAAGTGAGTCCATAGAAAAAAATTAATTTCTCCAAAACGTGTTGGAATTAAGAAACGAAACTTTTCGAGATTATAAAGGGACGTTTGAGGTTGGGTTATACCAAATTTAAAGATTCCAAAGTTAACAATTCATTTTATATAGAATTTTAAAATCACCCTATTTCATTTGACGTTTATTGAAAGTGAGTCCATAGAAAAAAATTAATTTCTCCAAAACGTGTTGGAATTAAGAAACGAAACTTTTCGAGGTTATAAAGGGACGTTTGAGGTTGGGTTATACCAAATTTAAAGATTCCAAAGTTAACAATTCATTTTATATAGAATTTTAAAATCACCCTATTTCATTTGACGTTTATTGAAAGTGAGTCCATAGAAAAAAATTAATTTCTCCAAAACGTGTTGGAATTAAGTAACGAAACTTTTCGAGGTTATAAAGGGACGTTTGGGGTTGGGTTATACCAAATTTAAAGATTCCAAAGTTAACAATTCATTTTATATAGAATTTTAAAATCGCCCCTTTTTAATTGGACGTTTATCGAAAGTGAATGTATAGAAAAAATTGATTTCTCCAAAACGTGTTGGAATTAAGAAACGAAACTTTTCGAGATTATAAAGGGACGCTTGAGGTTGGGTTCTGCCAAATTTAAAGATTCCAAAGTTAACAACTCATTTTATATAGAATTTTAAAATCCCCCCTTTTTAATTTGACGTTTATCGAAAGTGAATCTATTGAAAAAATTGATTTCTCCAAAACGTGTTGGAATTAAGAAACGAAACTTTTCGAGATTATAAAGGGACGTTTGAGGTTGGGTTATACCAAATTTAAAGATTCCAAAGTTAACAATTCATTTTATATAGAATTTTAAAATCACCCTATTTAATTTGACGTTTATTGAAAGTGAGTCCATAGAAAAAAATTAATTTCTCCAAAACGTGTTGTAATTAAGAAAAGAATCTTTTCGAGGTTATAAAGGGATGCTTGAGGTTGGGTTACACCAAATTTAAAGATTCATATTCTTGAAAATATACCAAATTCTATTAAATAATCAACATGCATAGGCTCAATTAAATTTTGCGAGTAGAATTTGATGGAGTCTCCGAAGCGATTGTAATTTCGGAATTTATCGATAATTCAATAATGATGTAATACAGAATGGAAACAATGAAGTGATTGATTCATGACGAACCTAAAAAATGTTAGAGGACGAAATGAAACAGAATGATGAACACAAAATGTAGGTGACTCAGAATGCAATTAAAATTATTATTTCCAAGAGCCAAATAAGAGCATAAATTTTGTTTTATATCTAACAAGTGCTTGTTAATAATCATCTTTAGGAGAATATGTATGAATTAGTTAAGGAGAAAAATAATATTTAAATCACAGATAAAGGATAACATTTTTTCATATCGACTTTTCGAATAGTGATGGATTTAAAAGGAAATATAAAAAAAGTTGTCCCCCTCGTTAATACTTCGTGAAATGAAAATCCAAATGCGGATGTCATCGCATCTATTCTATCAAAGAAAATTTCAACTTAAGTTGTCTATGACTTGAATTACTAAACGTCATATTAACTGTCAGTTCTAATAACAACAATTTTTTTTCATAATTTCTTTCATTATGTTTAAAAACCAAGTTATAATTATAATTTTAATCGCAGTTTTTGTCTCAAACGTAAAACCATATACAATTTTTAAGAAATTTAGTGCGGCAACTCAAGAATCGCGCACAAATTTCAATATAAAGCTTCCAAAATTAAGATGTAATCCCGCGTGCTCTTCATATAATCATCAAAGAAAAGGAATGAAATTTACAAAGCAATGCGAGCTGAATATCGATTCAGTTGAAGGTGGTAAAGATGTATGTGCTAATAAATATTCTTCTATAAAAAATAAAAATTCGATAACAATAAATCCATTCAAAGATTGCAACAAATACATTAACAAAAATGTGAATAGTTTCAAATCGGTTTGGATAAAGTGTTTGTCGTGTTTAGCCATTTCGGATAAAATAAATACATCTTTCGTCGAGGTTCATAAAGAGATTAATCTTTTTACCGACGAATTTAACGAAAACATCCAAAAGGCTTTAATCAAAACGTGTCAAAACGGATTTAAAAATTACGATTTAAGGGAATATAAAGGAACGGTGATTGTGACAAAAACTTCGATTTACAGCAAACACGTTTCAAGTGAAATTGATGGAAATTGGAATAAATTGTAAGGAAACATTTTAATAATTATAAATCTTTTTATTGATTATCGTTTTTTAGGTTGAGCGAAATTTGTTTAAAATACATCAAAAATATGAATTATAGAAGATTATTAAATGAGTACTTAATGGGATATTTGAAATTTGACGATTTTTTATGTAGATCTGGAGGATTATACAGAGATTGTGAAAATTTAATTTTAGAATATTTCCAAGTACCTGACAACTATGGAAGCGTAACTTTAAGATTTTGCGTCAAGCCGAATTAAAAAATTAATTATAAGAAAATAAAAAAAATCATTTTCATAATTGAATATTAATTTTGTGCATTAGTTATAAAGAAACTTTGGAGAAAAGCGGTGACTTTAAAGCTTCTTTGAAGTTCTAAACGAGGACTCCCTTTTTGTCCCAATTTATTTTAACCTGAATCTTTCAAAGAAAAATCTCGGAAACGACCCAAAAGTTCAAACGAACCGAACAATACTTACAAAACGTTATATTTTTCCCTGAAAGTCAAAATGTTGTATTAAATCTAAATAGATTAAAAAATTTAATTATATCAATGGTTTTCATTTAATTATTACGAAATTACTATTACTATGTACAGGGTGGTTCAAATTCGATGTCTGAATAGGCTAACTCGGAAACTATAAGAGTTAGAAAAAAAGTAGCTTACATGTCATGATCTCGTTTTTGGAGAAACTGCTAATGCCGAAAACCTCAAAACGCTATCGTCTTTTGTTTTTCCCCTAGAGACCAAAATTGAAAATATCGTAAAACCCACAAGTGCAATTATCTTGGTTATTATTATAGGTGGAGTATTATAACTACGACATTATATGGACACTTTTTTACAGAGAATTTCATGACGTAGTCAAAAAAAATTTTTCGGTTTTAGATTTTGAGATATTATGACAATTTTCGTTTTTTTTAATGGAAACAACCACTGAATATTCGCTTATTAATTTCGTTATTTTTTTCTGATTACAAAAATATGGGGTTATATAGGTCTATTTCTTATTATTTTAGAATGAAGCTAAAAATAAACTTATTTTTAGTGTTGTCAAAGAAATTAAATTTACAGTTTTCTGTAAATTACGGTATTATAACTAAAAATTATTATACTAAAATTGTATATAAAATTTACTTTATTTTCTAATATGTAACATTCTAACATTTTAAACTTTTCGTAATTTTCATAATCCATCTTAAAAAACAGGATTTTTAATTTGACAGTTGACAATGTTGCTATGTTTATTTGAATTAAAAAAAATAAAATAAAATATATGTACGCCATCTATCAATAATTTATTAAGTCATTTAATAATAATATTAAATATTAATAAAAAATGTGAAAATATGTCATTTAATAATAATATTAAATATTAATAAAAAATGTGAAATAATGCAATCTATTCCAACTTTTGTGTAAAACAAATATAAATTAAATAGTTCAACAAATGTTATTTGTTTCAAATATCAGAAATATGCTTTTTAATTTTTAGTTATAATTTACAGGAAACTGTAAATTTAATTTCTTTGACGACACTAAAAAAAAAGTTTAATTTCAGCTTTATTCTAACTTGTTAACTTGTTGTCCATTTATAGAGGAAAGCATGTACTTTCTTATGAACAAAACCGCATTTGAAAATCTTTATTCATTCTTTAGATATTAATATTTGAAGTAAATTGATTTTTTAAGAATTTGTTAAGCAAACAATTTTGTTACATCATTTTTAAAAAATCGCAAAAATTCGAATTCTTAAGATATGTTAATAAACTTTTGACAACTTATAGAAGAAACTACGTAGTTTTTCATGAATCATACCTCATTTGAAAATTTTTATTCATTCTTTAGATACTAATATTTGAAGTAAGATGATTTTTTAAGAATTTATTAAGCAAACAATTTTGTTCCATCATTTTAAAAAAATCGCGAAAAATCGTATTCTTAAGATATCTTAATAAACTTGTTGTCCATTTATAGAGGAAAGTATGTACTTTCTCATGAACAAAACCGCATTTGAAAATCTTTATTCATTCTTTAGATACTAATATTTGAAGTAAGATGATTTTTTAAGTATTTATTAAGCAAACAATTTTGTTCCATCATTTTAAAAAAATCGTGAAAAATCGTATTCTTAAGATATCTTACTAAACTTCTTGTCCATTTATAGAGGAAAGTATGTACTTTCTCATGAACAAAACCGCATTTGAAAATATTTATTCATTCTTTAGATATTAATATTTGAAGTAACTTGATTTTTGAAGAATTTGTTAAGCAAACAATTTTGTTACATCATTTTTAAAAAATCGCAAAAATTCGAATTCTTAAGATATCTTAATAAACTTTTGACAACTTATAGAAGAAACTACGTAGTTTTTCATGAATCATACCTTATTTGAAAATTTTTATTCATTCTTTAGATACTAATATTTGAAGTAAGTTGATTTTTTAAGAATTTATTAAGCGAACAATTTTGTTCCATCATTTTAAAAAAATCGCGAAAAATCATATTCTTAAGCCATTTTAATAAACTTCTTGTCCATTTATAGAGGAAAGTATGTACTTTCTCATGAACAAAACCGCATTTGAAAATCTTTATTCATTCTTTAGATATTAATATTTGAAGTAACTTGATTTTTTAAGAATTTGTTAAGCAAACAATTTTGTTTCATCATTTTTAAAAAATCGCAAAAATTCGAATTCTTGAGATCGTAGTGTTAGTTCTAGTTTTACACTAGCACTGTTACTAGAACTAAAAAAGCAATGCGAACTGAATATCGATTCAGTTGAAGGCGGTAAAGATGTATATGTAAATATACATACAATACAATAAATATTCTTCACATAACGTTATATTTTTCTCTAAAAGTCAAAACGATTTATGAAACCTAATTAAATTAAAAAATGTAATTATATTAATGGTTTTCATTAAATTATTACGAAAGTTATTAAGCTCTAAAAGAAAAATTTACTAAATTTAATTATAGTATCTGGTTTTAGTTAAAACTTTTTCCGTTTCTAAACGAAATGAACTGAAGTTAAATGCGAAACCTAATCCTGCAATAGATCGAGACGAAGAAACCCTTTTCTACTCCTAATTCCACTCCCTCTTTTCCCACACATCGAGACACATCCAGGCAAACCACCGAAACTAGGATTACCCCAAAATTGTCACAAAACCTTTCTCAGTTTCCCTTGGATCCCGATGGAAATGCTTCGAGAAAAGCTGACTTGAAGTCTCCGGGAAACAGTGAAAAACTGTCAAATCTCCCGCAAAGCTTAAAGTTTTTCAAAGCTTAAAGTTGATACCTTTTTACATATTAAAAATAATAAAACTTCTTTTTGTAAGTTTTGGCTTCTAGGCTTATTTTTCCGAAAAGGTCTTTAACCTCGGTGATAGATTAAAGAGCGAAGGGGAGAAGACGATTTCCTCGATAACTTCGACATCTCTGCATTAATCTTGGATGGAAATGAAAGGAGGGAGGGCAGAAGGACTGTGGAAAAACCGGAAGGAAAAAACCTCTCAAAACCCCCAAAATGTAGGTTTTTTTGCTGAGTTGGGAATAAAAAAAATAGGTTATAGACGTAAGCAGTTCATTCGGATTATTGATTTTATCTTCAATCTTAATAGATACTTGTTTAGTCCAACAATATTTTGTAATAAAATTTAATTTTTTACGAACGAAATCACAGCATACATTAAATTTGATAACCTTCACCAAAGATAAACCAACCTTGAAATTATCGACGGAACTCACGTCCTGAATCCTAATTGTTCCATTTTCACAGCGTTTCACGATTCGAACAATGCCCAATCAAAATTTACGAGCAATACCAACCGGGATACCGATCCAAAAAACGTTCAATTTTGATCTTAAAGTTCCTGTTCCATAGAGATGTTTTCATTTGCGGTGATTTTAGGAAATATCACAATAAGTTTTAAAGACGCATTAATAAGTTTCAAAAATTTTTAACATAATTTTGATAAAAGAAAAATAATAATAATCGTTTTAATATTTATAAACAAATCTGTAAACCAAATCAACAAAAAACGATTCGGGGATCGAACTGGTTTACAAATAGCGAGATCTGCACCTCGATCAATTTATCGCCCGAGAAAGTCATCACACAACCACTTCTTAACAGCATTGGTACAATGTGGTGGGACTCCATTGTGCAAACACCACATTTGTAATCTTATTTCAAGTGGCGCATCTCACTGTGGAAGAAATTGAATTTTTTGGGTAGCAAAAATCGAAAATTTATAATGCTGCTAACGTTTTTCTTAATTAAGTGCTAAGAAATATTGGTGGTGTAGTTTTAGTGCACCAATGATTGGTGACCATAGATAATGCCTTTGTTTATGGAGAATGTACCGAGAATTTCGTAATATATACCCATCATTATTGTGAAATAATAGCACTTCTTGACAATGAGAGATATATGTTACGCCAAGCTACCAGATGGTCAATAGTCATTAAAACTGCAGCACATGAATAGTTAAGACATTAGCTAAAGGTCGGCAATTAGTTAATTATTGCATGAAATGGATAGTTTAATGACTCAGTGATTGTTGTTTTTGAATAATTAATTTAGCTTCAATAGATTGTTGGTGGTATTTTTAGATGTTGTTAACTGAAATATTATTGGTTGTTAAGCATGCACCGATTAGTTCTACCGATATAAATATTCTTTATTTTATAGCTGTTCAAGTGTGCAATGATGTACAGGATGGTTCAAATTCGATGTCCGAATAGGCCAACTCGGAAACTATAAGAGTTAGAAAAAAAGTAGCTTACATGTCATGATCTTGTTTTTCGAGAAACTGCTAATGCCGAAAACCTCAAAGCGCTATCGTCTTTTGTTTTTCCCCTAGAGGCCAAAATTGAAAATATCGTAAAACCAACAAGTGCAATTATTTTGGTTATTATTATAGGTGGAGTATTATAACTAAGACATTATATGGACACTTTTTTACAGAGAATTTGATGACGTAGTCAAAAGAATTTTTTCGGTTTTAGATTTTGAGATATCATGAAAATTTTCATTTTTTTAAATGGAAACAACCACTGATTATTCGCTTATTAAATTCGTTATTTTTTTCTGATTACAAAAATATAGGGTTCGACAGGTCTATTTCTTATTGTTTTAGAATAAAGCTAAAAATAAACTTTTTTTATAAAATTTCCATCTAGTGTCGTCGACGAAATTAAATTTACAGGTTCCTGTAAGTTGCGGGGCGGTAGGTAAAATCTAAAAAGT